GCTACTCTTGTACAATACGAAAGCTTGTCCTATTAGAACCACACTTCCAAAATCTCATGCACTTAATATTTCAAAGTCTAAGAAAAAATTATATAAACATGGGAAATATGCTCATAAATATCAGGGTAGTTATAGACATGACTATTTCTACTCCTATGGAAAGAATAAATATTCTATTATTAATAATATTAGAAAATAAAAATCAGAGATGTATTCTTACCATAAATGTGGAATGATTGGATATTTAGCATATGCATGCTATACTTTAGAATGTTTTATTAAAATGTTTGAAGAAAATAAGAAACTACAAGCTAAGGCTCGTGAAGTTCATACCATGGATGCGTCCATGGATTCAATTGGTGCTGATGACTTAGAAGCTTATATGAATGACAAAAACTCTAATGATGAATGAAATGATGTATTCATTGATTCTGCAACAACACATACTATCATGTGGGATAGATGATTTTTTATTGAAAAATCTTCAACTTAGTAAAATAAAAATAAGATAGATTGGAAAAATAAATAATATAAGTATCTTTAGAAAGAAGTTAAGACTAATTTCTAGCAAAAATTACGTAGAAAAACCATATATTGATACTCGAGGAGGGCCAATTATCAATCTAGGTTGAAATCAGATCTTGAGGCACAAAACTGAGCACCTATGGTAACTCGAGGGTTCTTTTGCAAATCAAAGATTATGATTTGATAGCAAATTAAATAAGATTTCAATGAGAATTGATTTTAAGCAATTTGGATTTGTAATGACTTTGTAAGAGCTTTATAAAGTCAAGTTTGTTTTTGGATGACTTGGGTTTTGTGAAATAAAATAGGGTTGACGTTTTAGGTGATTTCAAGAGTTTTATAATAGATCTATAGGTGAAATTTTGTGAATTAATGGTCATAGTTGTGCTCAATATGTGTTGTGAATCTTAGCTCGATCTAATGGTTGAATTGAGGGTTATTAAGATTTAAGTAGGTCAAGGTCTAAAAAAGTAGAATTTTAGGTCTAGTAAGGGTTTTTAAATTTTCTTACAATCTACTTATTGAATTGAAATAAAATTTATGTGTAAGGATATTAGACTTATTTTTCTATGTATATAATAATTTTGAAATCAATCAAACAATAAAAAAAAGAGATATTGGCTCTAGGAGATTAGCATCAAGGTCGGAGAAGGAGGCAAGCCAATATCCAAGCACGTTTTTGAAGCTATCGTGTATTTTGTAATTTCGATCCTTTTCAAACTTTTTTGTGCTTATTTTTAACTTAATTTTTAAGAAATGTGCAAATTTTAAGTTAAGATCAATGATTCATTTGTAAGTAATTGAGGTTTAAATTTGTTATAGAAATTACTAGGGTTTGATTTAAGATTTAGGATTTTGTGTAGGATTAAGTTAGAATTTGATTTAGGATTTAGGATTTGATTTAGGGTCTGATTTAGGATTAGGATTTGGTTTAGGATTTAGGATTTGGTTAAGATTTGATTTAAGATTTAAGATTTGATTAGGGTTTGATTTAGGGTTAGGATTTGTTTAGGATTTGGTTTAGGATTTAAAGTTTGGTTTAGGGTTGGATAGGATTTGATTTAGGGTTTAGAGTTTGGTTAGGATTTGATTTAGGATTTGTTTAGGATTTGGTTTAGGATTTAAGATTTGATTAGGATTTGGTCAGGATTTGATTTAGGGTTTAGGATTTTATTTGAGTTTATTAAGGATTTAAGATTTAATTAGGTTTTGGCCTAAAGTTTAAATGAAGTCCAATAGGATTTCAACTAGGATTAAATTAAGATTGAATTGAGATGTATTTGAGATATATTTTTAATCATTCTAATATTTTTTTAAGATTTCTTATTATTTCTTTGTAATTCTTTTGAGTTTTCTTTGAATTTGATTAAAGCTTGCTTAACATTGTTATGGTCTAATTGGAGTTTAATTAGTATTCTATTAGAATTAGGATTTTGTTGTTGCAATTTCCATTCTACCTTCCACAGCCAAGTGTCCGGAGCATTCTCAAGCAAGACTTCACGTATTATAATAATGATAGATGAATCATTTGCATGTATGATTATAGAAGCCTTTTTTTGCACAGAAGATGATTCTGAACCTCAAACCATCGAAGAAGTGATGCGTTGCTTTGATTGGTCAAAATAGAAAATTGCTATTGAAGAGGAATATACTTCTTTGCATAAGAAGAAAGTCTTTGATCCTACTATAGACACTCTTACATCTTGCCCTGTGGGATATAAGATGGTATTAATATGCAAGCAAGATGCTTAGGGTTAAATAATCCGCTATAAAGCTTATCTTGTTACTCAAGGATTTACTCAACGATTTGGCATAGATTATGAATCCACATATTTTCCAATCATGGATTCAATTACATTTTGATATATTATTGGAATTGTAATTCATGCCACCCTTGAGATGCATCTGATACATGTGATAACTACATATTTATTTAGTTCTCTTGATACAAATATTTATATGAAAGTTCCACTTAGCTTAGAAATAAGAATTCCAAATGGACCTACTCTAGGACAATATCGTAGTATTAAATTATGTAAGGTCTTGTATGGTTTAAAACAATTCGAACGCATATGGTATCAACATCTTCAAGATTATTTAATTACACATAAGTTTGTAAAAGATGCACTAATCTCTTGTTTGTTTATCAAATGAGATAAAATTGATTTTGTAATCATTGTTGTATATGTTGATGATTTTAACCTAGTGGGCACTAAATCTGCATGTGTTAGAGCTACTAACCTACTTATATGTGAATTTGAGATGAAAATACTAGGAAAAACAACTTTTTGCATTGATCTTTAGATTATACATCTTACTGATGGTAGTATTTTTTTCTACCAACTAACGTATATTAGACAAATTTTGCAGAGATTCAGTATGATTGATGCTTATCCATTGTCCACACCAATGATTGAATGTGGTCATGATGGTCATGATCCATACCGTCCATGCCAGGAAGAGGAAGAAATATTGGGGGATCAATATCCATACCTTGCAGCGATTGGAGCACTTTTATATTTCGCTACATCTACAAGACCAGATATTACATTCATAGTTAGTGTTCTTGTAAGACATAGTGTACGTCCAACACTACGACATTAGATTGGCATCAAGTATTTATTACGTTATTTAAAAGGTACTGAAGACTTGGGATTATACTACACACAATCTACAAATCCAAAATTCATTGGATATTGTGATGTGAAATATAAATCTGATATTGCAATAGCTAAATCTCAAACATGATATGTATTTTTAAGACATGGAGCTGCAATATCATGGAAATCAAAGAAACAAACAATAATTGCAACTTCATACAACCATGTAGAAATTATTGCCTTACATGAAGCATCTTAAGAATATATTTGGTTTTCATCAATTGTTAAATTCATTCAAACAATCTGTGGATTTTCATATGATGATTCTCTAACTATCTTGCATGAAGACAATAGTGCTTGTATTGTACAAATACAAGTTGGTTTCATTAAAGGCGACAAGACAAAGCATATTGATCCAAAATATTTTAGTTATACCCATGAGTTGATTACTGATCATGCACTCATAATTAAAAAACTTTAATTTACAAATAACCTTGCTAATCTCTTCACCAAAGTTCTCCTATTGTACAACCATTGTCAATTTACTTATGACATTGATATGTGGCGACTTACTTTTCTTGAATAAAGAAGTTAATGAACTCTTTAAATAATTAAGGAAAATGATGTTGTACTCTTTTTCTTTCATCTATGGTTTTGTCTTTAAAAATAATAAGGTTTTCCTATATAAGGTTTTAATGAAGCAACAATTATTGATCTTACAAGATCACAGAAAAGTATAAATCATAATTCTATACAAATTTTATATTATGTAAATATTATGATGAGTGAGGAGGAGTGTTGAGAGCATTAAATGTAGCTAGTGCTATCCATAATATTTACTATAGACTACAGTAAATACTATAGCTATAGTATTTAGAGTCTAGTAGAGAAGAATTGTTTATCATCTCTCCTTTCTCTTCTGATATACGAGACACAACCAAATCAATAGATTTTTATGTGTGAAGCTCTCTTTCCTTAGAAACTCTCTTGTGTGTGTGTGTATTACTTACTACTACTCTTATGTCTTTCTAAACATTTTCAACAAAAGAAACATTGCTATTGCTCAATAGGTCTCCCTTATAGAGCACCCAAACCCATGTGGCATGCTCCAAGCATACCACGTTGGCAATTTTTGCACCATTTAAATGATCTGTTGTAGAGACTTAAAATATTTTTCAATCGAGGAAAATGATAACTCATGTTGAATTTTTTGTTTAATAAAAAAGTATGATATTTTGCTTAATACAAACCTGTTTATTTGAAAAATCATTTTTATTGTATTATTGTTATAACTCAAAAGTCAACAATGCATGCACAATTAATTACTTAATGTTTTCTTTTTAAATAAAAGCATTATTGACTTAAGTTAATAACTCATAAGTCATCAATGCATTATTCACTTAAGTCTTATTATGATATTTTCAATCATATATATATATACACATTCACATGCGATATATGTACGTATAATTTTTAGTTTTATATTTAAACATCATATTTGTCTCATGTTTGTAATATATTTAAGGTTTGACAAATATATATATATATATATATATATATATGTTTTTAAATAAGCTGCTTGTTGTTCAAAAATATTTTTAGTTGTGCAATATAAAATAGAATGGTCTTAAACAAAGGAAACCTTAGTAATAATCTCTTTTTATTTAATTTTCACTCAATTCTCTATACACTTAGAAAATCTAATGAAATAACCACAAAAGGAATAAATGAGGTAGGATGTATTTTTTCCTTACTTGGCATAAATAATGTTGTGCCTAAAGTTTGATGGTTTTCACAAAAAAAAAAAATATATATATATATATATATATACACACGTATGTATTAAAATTGTTAGAATGAAGACTTAGATTGACATGCCTAAAATCATGATAAAAAAATGATTTGATTCATTTCAAGCTTGAGAATGTCTCAGTTCCAGCTTTCTGTCTGCACCATATGCACAATTTCCCGTGAATGAGCAATGGCACTGTACAAATTGACATCTTGTTTGAAGCAAGCAAGCTGATGTTTAGGGTTTCGATCCTGCCGTTTGGATGAGTCAACTACTCTTGGTAATCCCGATGTTCGTGATTCTAAAACTACACTCGACTAGCAAGTGAGAACCGAGTGGGTTCCTTACAAAAACTGTTGTGGACTAACTAATTGTGTGACTCTCTGATGTCTAATTAAATCGAGAGCAGTAATCTTCGACGAGGATAGAACATCATGAACACACTGCAGATAGAAGGTTTACATAGTTACGAGCACATGAAGGTAACGCCGCAATGGCGATCAGTTTGGATTAGGAAGACCTTGACGCAGGAAGAGCGATGCACTACTCCTAAAACTCTGGGTCGAAAGGGTTTTGTGAAGAAATCGGACCCTGATCTGCCATGCCCACTTGGGTCATGGCCACTTCATCCTCCCGGGACTTCTCTGCGTCGTCAGAGTGACTCCGAAAGCAGCACAGGCAACAAACAGCCGCAAGGCATGACTGGACAAGCATCCTCTTGATTTTGCCCCGACGCCCCAACGGCATCCACCCTCCGCGCTTCATCTCCGCAGCCTTCCTCACTCGAGCATAGCGCGGTGAGTACTCCATCCTCTCAGGCTATCAATCCGTCACAAAATCTGAAGTTACCCCATGCTAAATTCAGTACAATTTCCATCACCTTCGCCGTCTAACTCGCAAATGATCAAATCCCCACAGCCAAAACCAGCACAGATTTCCACCCAACACTCCCAAACTGCTCATCCAGTCTCATTCCAACCACTCCCGCAAATCCCCGACCCTAAAAAAACACCAAAACAAGACCCACCACAACAAACCATCACTCAATCAAATTCATGGCTAGCAATTAACGAAAGCTCGATGGGTGAGAAACACTAACCTCGAGATCTAACCACCGGCGTCTCAAACGATTCCCACACTGTCTGTCGAAAGCGAAGAATGACAGCAAATTCTGCGTCGAAGAATGCCGACGCAATCTCAGACTCAAGGGTGAAGAAGAGCTTGGGAATCATCAACCCGAAGTGGGCCCACCGAAGTCTCGACGAATCCAAGGTGGGTACAGACACACACACCCAACTGCTGCTCGCCTCCTCTCGAATCCATCCCCTGGTACGCGTCTGCGACTCCGCGACATTGCTTTACAGACGCAGCGTGGATCTCGAAACAAACGTGTTTGTCGGTGAGATGAGTGTCTGTCTGTATAAGAAGTGAGAAGGGAGAGGCGTGTCTGTATCTGTCGGTAAAGTATGTCTGCATGTATATCTGTGTGCTGGTTTTCTTCTCCTTCTTCTTCTTCTGCTATTATTATTGTTGTTGTTGATGATGCAGTGAGCTTTTCACTTCATTTACTCGGCCAACTTTAATTTTCTGTGATTTTCTGTGATTTTCTTTGATTTTGTTGCTTGACTGCATCAATCAATCCTACTTATCCTGTTTGTTTGGTGTACTGAAACTGTCTTTTTATGGTTTTGAGGGTAGTGCTCAGCTAGGGTGTTTTCATTTTTGCTTCTTTGTCAATAACTTGTTGAATTTTTTATAATGGAGCTCTGACTTTATGTTACGGTGTTCCTTACAACGATACAGTTCTAAATGTTGCTCTATAGTAAATCTCTCTTGTGACCATGTCTAGAAGTCCTGCAGCAAAAAATGCAATTTTGTGAAATCTGTCAATTAAAAGCCGTCTAATGTGTATGAAATTTTTATCTTGAGTAATAAAAATTAATATTTTTTCATCGAATAAAAACTTGTTAACATTGAAACACAACCTAATTATAATAATCTCAAATCTTACTTTTAAAAATAATGTTTTCATCACTTCAAAATCTAATTAATTTCCTTACTAATCTCTACATATACAATATTTGACTTTTAGATAATAAAAATAGTATGATTTGTTTAATAAAAAAACACATATTTTTATGAAAATATTTAAGTTTAAGGTTTTCATAAATATTTTCATAAAAATATGAAAACAAATCATCATATAAGGTCTTATTAACCTTGGTATTTTAAGAAAATGAATATAAATATAAATATATATATATTTATATATATTACTCTTTTTTTGGGTTGTTGTAAGCATTTTATTTACAATTTTACAAGGACATGAATCTAAATGGGCTTGTCAAAAAATAGTTTAATTGTATAAATTAATGAAGAAATAAAGAAAATAAAGAGAAATTACAATTTTAGAATAAGATGTCACAAGAATGTATGTTAAGTAAAAAATATCTATAGATTCTTGAATTAGGACTAGCATACAAAAAAAAGGTATTGACAAGATTAACGCTGACTTTAATTTTGTCTTTAAGTATATTAGTTATTGAGAAGACCTTGTCAAAATTTTAAGGAGTAGAAGGTTTTAAAAAAAAAATCAAAGATGTGAAATTCTTTCTCAATAACATCTATGAAACTTCTAGGAGCAATTTTAATAGTCATGTGACAAATCTGAAGATACTGATAGATCTAATAGTTAGCTACAAAAACATCTACAACATTTATCAAAAAATATATATTATTTGAATTCCATTTGATTTGATTTACCTAGATAATATAGATATGTAAGGAACAATTTGTATGATTTTATAAATTTTTTGGATAATTTTTATAATCAATCAGATAGATATATATATATATATATATATATTAAAAGTGATGATTTAAGTCAAAAAAAAAAAAAAAAAAAAAAAGTTTGAAATATTGGAACAGAACTGATTGATATTTCCAAAACAATCAGAGGATAAGTGTTGTTTTTGACAAAGAGAAGTGTTTTTTTTGCTAGTATTTGGACAAGGACAGTACCAATTTCTTTACTTCAAATACGTTGTGTGTAGAAACAAATGAAAGCATGTAATCAAAATAAAATAAACCAAGAGTATTTAAATTGAAAAAATTAGTTCTATTACGATCAATTTAATAATCCAAACTCAGTATTTTCATATGATTTAATTCAGTTTTAAAAATCCTCCACAGGAGATTAGAATCAGGGATTTAAAGAATCACATAAAAACTCATTGAGTTTTTTTAAATTACTTACATCCTGTATTTGTATCATTATCACTTTTGAATAAATAATCTTAACATTTTTTCAATTCAAAAGTAGTGTTTAAATTAAGGAATGAAACATGTGTGAGCTAATCCAACTTTAAATACTATTTCTTCAAAAAATATAAATATAAATAGTATTCTATAATTTATAGTTTTTTATTCGTGAGTTATTCATTTTTACTTTTTTTTCACTATTGAAATTTTCCTAAAGAACAAATTCTTGTTGGTTATATAAACATGTATACAGAAAACTTGTGCACAAAGTTTTTCAATGTGCAGTCAGGGTGGTTTACAGGGAATTTTTAGCTCAAATCATATAAAGTGTTATTTTTTTTCAAAATAATACATCTATATCTATAATATACACATGCATGAACATTAAACACATCCAATGTTCATTAAAGGACCTTTTCTATTTCTCAAAAGACATGTGTACGATTCACTAGAGTTGCCAGAAAAATCTGTAAATTTGTTATGCATTGTCCTTACATGGATGCAATTTACATATATTTTAAGACTACGTCATAATTTGCGGCTGGATGTATGAATGAATAAATAAATGATTATATAAATATATATATATAAAAATATATATATATATAAATATATATATATATATATATATATATATAATCATTTAATTGCAATTATAAACAAGTGATATTTGAACTGAACGGTAAGAGAAGCATTTTTTACCCTGAATGTGTTTTAACAGTAACATTTGTATTTCTGTTTGTTGATTTATACCATCCCTTGATTGTCTCCCTTATTTCATAATTTTATGAAATATTCTTGTTATCTTGGTAGTCTAATTGAAACTCAATGGGTACTTATATTTTATTCATGAATACTGTCTCGTAGTTGTTGAAGTTGATACTATTTGTGGTTTTTCTTTCTCTTTAAACAGTAAATGTACATCTAGATTATTATTCAATATGTGCAAAATCTTACTTGGAAAGCATCCAATTGCATGACTCAATTAAATTGATTGATTTTGGTGGTCCAAACATCTTCCTATTTATCAATTAGTAATTTTAATGCTTCACCAATTTACTTAAATACATGGATGGTTGTGTGTTTGATTACTTCATTTATTTAGTTCAACCTCTTTGATTTGATTACAGATAGTCATTTTTTATATTGTTTTTTTTTTTTTTTTTTCTTTTTCTTTTTCTTTTTCTTTTTTTTTTACGGAAGTTCTTCAAATATTTTCTGTGTTCTTTTCAGCAACATATTTTATTTTATTTTTCAATCTTTTCTAGTATGAACTCCACATAATATTAATAACAATAATAATAATATCCTCTCCTTTTGGCCTATATATTTTTATAAAAATAATGTATATCTAAAAGTAACAAATCAGTTCATATTTTGGTATTTTCCCAATTTCAATCTATAAAAAAAACCCACTTTTATTGTAGGTGCCATTCTTTGTGACTTGGGATTTAATTTGAATCCTATTTTTCAATTTGTCTTCCTTGGATGTCAAACTAATCTGATTTTTGGTAATTCTACTTAAAAACATTCATATTTTTCATCTAAAGATATTTTTAATCTTTTTATGTCAATTATACTATCATTTATTCCATTTGTGATCCTATAAAGTTAGTAGAAGTCTTTTTTATAAAAATGACAACATAAAATATTAAATTTTCTACTATCTTGTTTTTTACTACTTAATTTCTAAAGAAGTTTTATACTAATCTTTCTATTAATCCCATATATATATACATATGTATAATGGTCTTTATTTACTCTTTCTTCTAATAGGGATATTTCAATACTAAAACATTTTGATCAAAGTTAAGTTGTATGCAGTTTGACTTGCAACTAAGGTTAGTACTCATCTGGCATATCTATAGAAATTTAAAGATCTAATTTTTGTTTATAAAAAATTCCTTAAATTTTCTTAACAAGTATATTATCTAACTAACATATTCTATTTGTTTCTACTAACTTCTATTTACTTCAATTTATTTAATAACGCATGTATTTATTACACATGTCTTGATTGGCTGTTAGGGACATAATCCTTAAAACCTTCTAGAGACAAGTTTCTAGAACCTTCTAGAAGTAAGTCTCTGGAACCTTCTAGAAGCTTCCTAGTTAGTAGAAGTTGCTTGAGAAGTTTCCTAAATAGGAGTATATATTGGAATCGAGGCTGAAGAGTTCTTCAGTCTCGACAACACATCTCTTGGAGCTCTAGCTCACCTCTCTGGTGTTCTTCTCATCTGATTAATCTAGTTCTTGCCAATTCTTCTTGAGCTTCTTGTTAGATCTCGAGTCTGTATTTCTAAGTCCGTGACAGTTTGTCGAGACTGCACTCACCTCAGATATCAGAGCTAATTTCTTCTTTGTTAGAGTGTGGATTACCCCTCTGCTTGGAAGTGTACTAGCATTTTAGAGGTTGCGGATTATCCTCCTCTAAACTGATACTTCTTTTGTTACAATATTGGAGTCTTATTCTTCTTGGAGAGAGTGGATTATCTCTTTTCTTGAAGCTCTTAAGGCATTTTAGAGGTTGCGGAGTACCCTCCTCTAAACCAATATTGTCTTCTTGTAGAGTCATTTCTGTCCTTCTCTTAGAATGGCCGAGGGCCAAGACATTAGTATGACGAAAAGTTCGGAGTCCAAGTTGGATGCTATCATGAATGCCCTCGCTACGTTATCGCAAAGAACTACAGAGATTGAAGGAGTCGTGGCAAGGCTTCATAATGATGGAGCATCTGGGATGGCACAATCTAGGTTGCACCAGCCTCAAACTTCTGCACTTAGAGAAGCAACTTTGCCTCAGGTTCGACAAGCACCGCTGGTTCTACAACATAAAGAGCCCCAAGTTAGCCTTCCGGACAAGTTCGATGGTATGCGTTCCAAGTTTCAAGGATTCGTCAACCAAATTAGGTTGATAACAGTTTTACAGCCCGAACGCTATTCAACGGAGGAGTCACGTGTTGGGCTTGTTGGAACCTTACTTACAAGATAAGCTCTATCATGGTTTGCTCCTTTGTTTGAAAAACGATCGTCCATACTAAACAACTTTGAAACCTTTTTGGAGGCATTTGCGGAAGCATTTGGTGAACACCACAAGGTTCGATGGGCTACAACAAAGATCCGGTCACTACGACAAGAG